CAGAATGACAACCCTACAGAACAATAATCCATTTGATTTTTTTGTTTCAGATGTTTTGAAGTGCCGCAATCACTCAGGCCAGCCATCTATCTTTTTTTTGGGACGTTCACTTTAACGCCAAAAAAGTATAAAAATATACTGTAAAATTTAAAAAAAAATTTTTTTATGTAGTTTTTAACTTTAATAGTAACATATCAAAAAATCAAATCGATCGAGTTTTATTTTTCCATAAAAAAAAATCCCAACAAAATACCCAAAAAAACGTGTAAACTACGAGACTACTACCTTAATCTATATTGGTCTCTTCAAAAAGTCAAAATAAGTAAAAATTGGAAAATAATTTTTTTCTTTGGATTGAGTGAACCGATTTGTTTGAAAATTTAATATGTTATGCAGGCGATAGAGAGCTTTTACNGACATTATGGACCAATTTTTAGCTTAATAAATTGATGATCAAAAAAATTATTTTCTCTTACTTTTTCAATTTTTATTATGATACTTTTTGAGCAAAATTATGATTCTATCATTTTTACATTTCTTATAAGACCTATAATGACTCAGAATTTTTTCAAAATTTTCTTAATGGTACGCCATAGTTAAAAAAAATAAAAACTATTTTTATTACCAAAAAATCAAATTTTTCAACAAATTCTATCTAAATAATTACAAATTATACTATTATTATCACATAAATAATACGCTGAAATAAATCTCTTGCATTAGAGATAATAAAAAAAAATTTTTTTGTTTTTAAAATAAAATATAACGCCCGTTAAAATTTAATAAAAATATAATTTGAAATAATTTGTAACTCAACTTTATTAAAACAATAATATTGCCAATAATTTTTTAAATACAATATACTTACATACAATAATAAAAAAGGAAAAGAAATATTTTAAATCTTGAAAGTGTTTTAAAAACATTTGTAACTTTCTTGTGTGACAAGATGTTCAGTCTTTGTCACTATCTTCTTCAATTACGACGTTAATTTTATCTTTAGTAAATAATTGACTTAGTATTTCAGCTGGCTTTGGAATCCGTGCTAAATATCTCCCATAAGCCAAATAATAAATAATCGCTGCGACATGTGAGCAGCATCCAATAGTTCGAAATCCATTTGCACACTCACAGCAATATTTTGTCACCCCGTTGTATCCAATGCTGTGTGGTGTATATTCCACGAAACATTTGTACTCTTTCCTGCTCATGTGACGTGACTGGACTTGAGCTTTCAATATATTACTTTCTTCTTTTACAAACTGTTTGTAAATCTTTCCGGACTCATCCATCATTTCTGCCAAATATGAAATTGCTTGCTTGTATTAATATGAACGTGTGTATAAAATCTTCAAATCTTTTTCTGTCATCTCTGGAAAGTCATCAAGGTCATCAACGGAAATCGTTTGAAAAATAAGTCTTTTGCGCAGCCAACCTTCATTTTCTACTTGTTCAGCAAGAGAATTTTCTAGATTTTTTCTTAAAATAATCTTATTAGTAATTTCGTTTGAAAGTTCCACATCACAACTAAGACGTTTATTAAAGCGGTTATGTAAAAATGAAGCGATTCTAAAATAACTTCGAACTTTTGGGAGTGATTTGTTGTCTATCTCTTGGCCAAGAAGTTTAAACTTTGCCTTAATCATTCCATGGGTTGCTTTGACTGGCCATCGGATTTTAGTAACACACCTTGATTTATTTGATTCAGATGTAGTTAGTTAATTTCGTTTACCTTTTAAAACTGGCATAAGCACTTGAAAATTTTTATTTTCTGAGTACTCTTTGACGTCCCGGAAGCCACGATCGACAACAAAGATATCTCCGGATCTTAGCAGAAAACATAAGCCATTAGGTTCATCTATAACTTCTCTCATGATAGAAGCATTATTTTGATTCGCATGATATGGACCTAGCATTTCCAGAACATATCTATTAGTAAAGATATGTGTATATAGCTTCAAGAATTTTTAATAAACAAAGGTATTCTGGCTATTGAAGCAAAACACTGTTGTTGATGTGTGAATATTTGAATCAGTTTATTGAAACTTAGTTGCATTAACGTTTTCGACCTTGTATTAGGTCTTTCTCAAATGCATTTCTACAATTAAATTACGGTACAATCCAATTAATAAAATTTAAAAAAATTGATTAAAAATCGCAGAATAAATATATTATATAATAGTCACTTAGAAAATACTTTAGTAATATACGTCGCACAGTACTGTCAAGAATGTTCATGTTGCACAAGCAGACCCGACCAACACTTTACAAATGGAAAAACGCGACTGTGAAACAGCGTGTGTATTTGAATAGAAGTCAAATCCGCAAATAACATAACACATTACGATGTATTATCGACAAAAGGTAAATAGGAATTGTCTAAATTTTCCGTGTCGCTCTGTAAATTAAGCCTGTGGATTTGACTTCTTATATGTAGCGTTTCTGATATCAACCGTTTGTGATAAGATCTCTCATAATCCAAAATTTTTACCTTATCCCATTCAAATTCATGTGAATATTGTAATCTGTGGTCAGTTATTACAGATTTTTGAGTGGAATTTCTATTAATGTGGTTTTTATGTTCTTTAATTCTGGCATGTAACATTCTGCCAGTTTGTCCTACATACGAGGCTTCACATTCACGGCACTTGATCTTATATACAACAGAAGAACGTGAGAGAAGAGGTAAAGAATCCTTAAGAACGTTGATGAATGTAGCCAGCTTGTCAATGCTATAAAAAGCTAAACTAATATCCATTAGTCGTGCAAATGGTGAAAGGTTTGCATACTGAGGTCTTTTTTTGACCAGAATATGATTTCCTTTGATATTCATTATTAGAATTTTTTTGATGATAAGCATAGATACCGTCACAAATCAAAATAAGCTTCTTATTGGTTTTATCATAAAGCTGCTGCGCTATTGCTGATGTTTGATTTTGAATCAAGTCATTCCTAGATGCTGCAGAGAATCCGAAATGATTCGGAAGAATATCATTTTCGAAACATTTGATAACTTGGGCCAAATAGTGAGAAACAAGCTGTTCTAGATCTAGTTGCAAGATAGATGATATGAGCTTATTTGAATTACCGGTTCAAAGTTTAAATAAAAAAACTATAATTGCTTGTGTGATTGTTCGAGTGTCTGTATTTCGCATCGACTTAAATAATGTTCGTAATTCAATTAGGTTTTCCCATGTTAGACCAGTGAAAACCTGAAGTTGTGAAATACGATAATCGGCCATTTTATCGGATAACGAAGAATCACATTCTACCGCCAAGCAGTCCATCAGTTTTTTTAATTCAGATGACTCTATGTAAGATGAGTTCGAATGTACCTTTAAAAGGGTAATATCCTCTTGAAAAAAACGTTTGTTAATAATGTGACTGGAACAACATCGGTTTCTTTCAGGAATATAAATTCTTCTTTTAATATAAGCTTGTAATCGTGCATTTTTTGGAACAAGAACCAAGCTATTTTTATTAACAGAATTACAAACACAACAATAGGAATGTGTCGAAACAGTTCTTTGAATCGGAACATTAACGTATTCTACATCATCGTGCTTAATATTTGAAACAAATGATGGATCGTCCTTACTTGATTGCGACAAAGTTAACTGTGATAAGGTTGAATCAGTTTCTTCTAAATCTTCTTCACGAATTTTTTCTGACGGTTTGCCTAGACATTTTTCTTCATTAATTTTTCTTTTTTTATATTTTAACATACGACAGGATCCACATATTGTATCACTGATGAAAATCTCTTCTGTGAAAACTCATCTAGATCTTCTTCTGTCGAAATAACTTTAGGAGTTCCTGCGCTCTTCTTTATGAATTGGTCACAAATTGCACATTTAATATTTTTAGATTTTAGTGAAGACATATTCGAAAAAAATATTAACGAATATTCATAAATAAAAACAATTATAACAATTAAAACTGAGATTCATCTCGGGCTCTGTGAAGTCTTTAACTAATAGATGAAGTGCCAAGTGCCTCGGTAGCCTAATAGGGAAGGCGACGGCCCGGAAAGCCGGAGATTCCAGGTTCGACTCCTGGCTGAAGAGTTTTTTTCGCAATATTTTAAATCAATTTGGGGAGATATTCGGGGTTCTTCATATACGAGATGCAAATTGAGCATCCTATATGATTATTAGAGTTGTAATTACAATTCAAAAAACTCACTTGAAAAACGTGAATTTGATTATATATGTGTACACACGCACATATATATATAGACATATTTCCCGCATAACATCCAGCGAACGGCTCTCAACGACTTATCATTCATCTATTAGTTAGAAACAATTATTTCATAAAATATTATTGTGTTTAGTACTTTTCTGAACGATAACCTCAAAATTATAGCTTAGAGAATTTTAACTTTTTTTGGAAGCGCCGTCTGCTAGCGATAGTATGAATACTCTTTATACACAGATTGTCCGGAAAGTTCCCGGACTGATTTTTTCTAGCGCGGGTAAGCGGCGCTATCGAGCGGTCAACGCTGGAACTACTTAGTATAGACCTTCCTTTAACC